TCTGCACTTCCTGGACTTGGGTGGTTAGTTTCTTTCCCATGTTAGGCAAGTTTTTGATTATAATCTCTTCAAATATTTTCTCGGGTCCTTTCTCTCTCCCTTCTCCTTCTGAGACCCCGATAATGTGAATGTTGTTGTATTTCATGTTGCCCCAGTGGTCTCTTAGGCTGTTTTCATTTCTTTTCATTCTTTTTCTTTATTCTGTTCCATGGCAGTGAATTCCACCATTCTGTCTTCCAGGCCACTTATGTGTTCTTCTGCCTCAGTTATTCTGCTATTGATTTCTTCTAGTGTATTTTTCATTTCAATTATTGTATTGTTCATCTCTGTTTGTTTGTTATTTAATTCTTCTAGGTGTTTGTTCTTAATTCTTCTAATGTCTTTGTTAAACATTCTTGCATCTTCTCGAGCTTTGCCTCCAATCTTTTTCCAAGGTCCTGGATCATCTTCACTATGATTATTCTAATTCTTTTTCTGGAAGGTTGCCTATCTCCACTTCATTTAGTTGTTTTTCTGGGGTTTTATCTTGTTCCTTCATCTGGTACAAAGTCCTCTGCCTTTTCATTTTGTGTTTATTTCTGTGAATGTGGTTTCCTTCCACAGGCTGCAGGATTGTAGTTCTTCTTGCTTCTGCTGTCTGACCTCTGGTGGATGAGGCTATCTAAGAGGCTTGTGCAAGTTTCCTGATGGGAGGGACTGTTGGTGGGTAGAGCTGGCTGTTGCTGTGGTGAGCAGTGCTCAGTAAAACTTTAATCTGGTTGTCTGCTGATGGGTGGGGCTGGGTTCCCTCCCTGTTGGTTTTTTGGCCTGAGGCGACCCAACACTGGGGCCTACCCGGCTCTTTGGTGGGGCTAATGGCGGACTCTGGGAGTGCTCACGCCAAAGAGTACTTCCCAGAACTTCCACTGCCAGTGTCCTTGTCCCCACAGTGAACCACAGCCACCGCCCGCCTCTGCAGGAGACCCTCTAATACTAGCAGGTAGGTCTAGTTCAGTCTCCTAGGGGGTCACTGCTCCTTCCCCTGGGTCCCGATGCGCACAGTACTTTGTGTGTGCCCTCCAAGAGTGCAGTGTCTGTTTCTCCCAGTCCTGTCAAAGTCCTGCAATCAAATCCTGCTAGCCTTCAAAGTCTGATTCTCTAGAAATTCCTCCTCCCGTTGCTAGACCCGCAGGTTGGGAAGCCTGACGTGGGGCTCAGAACCTTCACTCCAGTGGGTGGACTTCTGTGGTATAAGTGTTCTACAATTTGTGAGTCATCCATCCAGCAGCTATGGGATTTGATTTTATTGTGATTGCACCCCTCCTACCATCTCTTTCTGGCCTCTCCTTTGTCTTTGAATGTGGGGTATCTTTTTTGGTGAGTTCCAGTGTCTTTCTGTCAATGATTGTTCAGCAGTTAGTTGTGATTTCAGTGCTCTCTGAAATTTGTGCTCTTGAACATCAAGAGCTTTCAATACTTTCTGAACTTCCTTATTTAAAATTTTGTCAAAAAAATTTTTTTTGTCTTGTTTGTTAGTTGGCATTTTTGGTTGCTTGAGTATGAAGCAAGAGATATCATGAATTTGAAGTTTTTAGAACAGTGCTTCATAGTGTCCTCTCAAGGAATGTTTCAAATACTTATTAACAGCTTATTTGTTCCTTGTTTATTTTGGGTTGTGGTAAGCTGAGTAATGGCCCCACAAAGATGTCCGTGTCCTAGTCCCCAGAACCTCTGAATACATTACCTTACATAGTAAAAGGGACTTTGCAAATGTGATTAATTTAAGGATCTTGAGATGGAGAGATTACAATGGATTGTCTGGATGGGTCCAATGTAATCATAAGAGAAGGGCAATCACCCAGAGAGGTGATCGTACAGAGAAGGCAATGTGATGATGGAAGCAGAGAGATATTTGAAGGTGATTTGCTGCTGGCTTTGAAGGTGTGAGGCAGGGAATGCAGGCAGACTCTAGAAGCTTGAAAAAGTACGGAAACAGATTCTTCCCCAGAGTCTCCAGAAGGAACAAACCCTGCTGACACCTTGACTTTAGTCTAATGAGACTATTATTGTACTTCTGACCTCCAAAAGAGAATAAATTCATGTTGTTTTAAGCCATTAATATTGTGGTAATTTGTTACAGCAGCCGTAGGAAATGAGTACAGATTTTGGTATCTGAAAGTATCCCTCTTTCTGCCTCCCTTTGTCCTCAGTTCCAAGACTGAGCTTGGGACGTCATTAGCACAGGATTATTACTCTTGGCTAGTCTTGGCCAGAGTCTGCAAGGAGGCTGCCCCAAAGAAGAAGAGAGATTGGAGAAGGGGTGAGGTGAGTTCAGTCATCAGAAAAAAGATGTTTTTCTGGCTCCAAACTATGGCAACTCTACTGTAACAAATACTAAAAATACGAAAGTGGTTTGGAAGTGGGTAATGGGTAGAAGTTGGAAGAATTTTGAGGAACATGATGGAAAAGTCCTAGATTGCCTTGAACAGACTGTTAGTAGAAATATGAGTGTTAAAGACTCCTGGTGAGGTCTCAGAATGTGAGGAATGTGATTTGGGAAACTGGAGGGAAGGGGATCTGTTATATAATGGTAGAAAGCTTAGATTGTGTCCTATAATTATACAGAAAACAGAACTTGTAAGCAATGAATTTGGGTATTTGGCTGAGATTTCCAAGGAAAATATTGAAGGTGTGACCTGGTTTCTTCTTGGTTGCTTTTAGTAAAATGTGAGAGAGGAGCGGAGAGAACTGTTACAAAAAGGAAGCAAAATTTGATTTGGGAAATTCTCAGCCTACACAGATTGCAAACAATGCTGAAGTTAAGAGATCCACTGCCAAGAAAGCATGCTCTGGAGAGTAAGCCAATGATGCAGTTGCACAGCTTTTTTTTTTTTTTTGATTAAAAATGTTTTAAACTGTAGTAAAATGTACATAAAAGTTATCATCTTAACCATTTTTAAGTGTGGATAGACTTTTGCTAGTACTTGGAAAGTACAAAAGTTTAGTACATTCAAGTACATAGGGGGCTCTTTGAAGGGGTGTAAGACTCAGAAGCCAAAAACAGATGAAATTATTCAGGAAAGATCTGTGGAGTAGCCTGTTTTTTAATAAAGTGAATCTCCGTGACCCACAAAGTTCTTGAGAATGCTATACCAACAGAAACATTGTCAAGTTGGACTAAGAGGGACAGAGGGCAAAAATGAAGACTCTCAAAATTCCACAGGCAGAAAACATGCTGAGAAAAACCACTCAGTGGCAGACATGTGTTACTCTTCATGAAAAAGGATGATTCCAAGGGTGGAAAGCTCCAAAAAGTGGAGTCAGGGGTCCAGAGGGCAGAGGCATGAGCCGTGTAAGTTATTTCCAGGCTTTGAAACTTAATGGAGTTTGCCTAGGTGGACTTCAAAAGTGATTAACTGACTCTTTTTCTTCATTTTCTCCCTTCTTGAATGAGAATGGATCTGTTACTCTATGCCTGTCCCACCACTGTATTTCTAGAGCACAAACATGCTTTCTAGTTTCACAGCTCCACAGGTAGAGGATTTTGCCCCAGGACACATTATATCAGAACTGCACCCATAATTCAGATGATTAGATATGAAATTTTAGACTTGATACTGTAATGGGCTGAGACTCTGGGGGGCCTTGGAATGGGTGAAGGTATTTCTCATGTGGGATGTATGAGTCTTCGCGGACTGGCAGTGGACTGTGATAAGCTGAATAATGGTCCCCCGTAAAGATAGCCAAGTCTTAATCCCTGGAACCTGTGAATATGTTGTACATAGTAAAAGAGATTTTGTAGAAGTGACATATACTGACATAAAGACACACGACCTTTGGGTCAGAGATACAATGTTACTCATAGCAAAAAAAAAAAAAAGGAGCCGGATCAGCATTGTGGGTTTGTTTCCCATCCCCCAATTCCCACAGGTGTTAGCTCTGCACACAGTGGGGGCTGCTGGTACATCCTCTCACCCTTCCCTACAGGGAGATTACTCATTACTCCTGGAATGCACGCAAATGCCTCCAGGGAGGTAGGAAAAGGCTTTATCTTTACTTCCCTGGGATGTTTCTTGGGAAGATGTCTCTGGTTTCACCATTCTGAAATGTCTCCTTACACAAGTGTTCTTAACTTAAACACAAATACTTTCATTCAGAGGATCCAGACTGTGCAGAAATGTGAGCTATTCATGGAAAACTGTCTTCCAACTGTATTTTAAGCACGAATAAGGGGGAAAAATCTATTACCTTTAATAGAATAGAAAATCTGAAAAATCAAATGTTTCAATAATGCCAAGAGTGGCTGATGGAAAGGAGCTGCTAACCTATATGATTTTAGAGAAAGACCACGCCCAAAGAAACATCACCCAGTGGGGTCAGGAAATACGTAAAGAGAGGCAGAAGTTGAAATTAGTTTGAGGAAGACATATTAAGCAATTAAATTGCTTAATTTTCAGCAATGATGTGAGGAAGCAACATCAATCAATGCCGTTTGGGGATGCTCATAGAGATTATCTGACAAAATCAGATTTTTTAATGTAAAAATGGCAAAGAAATTTGCCATACATTTAATTATTATTCCTGGGACTATGACCGCATGTTACAGGTATTAGATGTTATTGATTTTTTTCTCCAACAAATGTAAATGGAATATCCATTTACTATGTATCATGCAAGATGACACGATCTCTGCTCCTATGGAGCATGCATTTCAAGGTGGCAGGTTGACAGAACTAGTAATCACATAAATAAATACAAATATTACAAATTACATACTACCAAGAAAACAAAGAAATAAAAGGAAGAATAAAGAAGGATGTACCCAAACTAAAGTGGTTAGGAAAGACCTCTTTAAAGAGGTAACATATAATTCAATCTATTCTCAAAATAGAAGTCAGAGTGAGTTTTTTAAAACCTAATTCACATCACGTCTTTCCTCCACAGAACCCAACTGCTCTCCATTTCACTGACAAAAATCCAGAGCCCCTATAATGGTCTAGAGCCCTTCATGATTTGGTTCCCAAATAGTTCCCTGACTTCCTTTCTTATTACTTTCTATAGCACTTATTAAATTCTAAATATTATAAAGGTTATTTAGTATGTTTATTGTCTCTCTCTCTCCTTGCCAGAACATAAGCTCCACTAGAGAATGGTCTCTGTTTTCTTCATTTCGTATCCCAAATGTGCCTAGAACGGTACCTGACCTCTAATAGAATTTCATTAAATTTTTGTTCAATGAACATAAAATTACACTGATTTTATTAGTATTAAAGTATAGCAAAAATAAAAACAAAGTTATCACATACACTGCTATATTAACATTTAAATACAACAGATAAAAAAATCACAAAATGAGAACTGCAGAAACAAAAACCAGGTAAGATTTGTTTACACAACATTGTAAAGTGACTATACTCCAATTAAAAAAAAAAAAGATTTATTTAACGTGGTAGATGTGCTTGCCCATTCGTAAGTTCATTCCAGTCTGGAACACAGGAGGATAATGCTACTCGCATATCTGCTGCGCCATTTAATCCGGTCCCTTCCTTTGCTTTTAACTGGGTTAAGACCGAAAATCCTAGTTCACACAAACTAGTTGCTGTGAATGGTAATAATAGCAGGATACTCTTTTGACTTATCAAAGGAAAGTCTTCCTTTATCTTAATCCAAAATGCTGATAAACTTAGTGTTTCATAATCATTCTTCGATGTATATGAAGAACTGAGCTGCAATAATTCATTTTCTTCTTCAGGCACCAAGTTTAACTCAATTATTGATTCTGGGTTTCAAAAAGCAAACGGATCTTTTACCCAACAATTCTGTCTTAATGTTTCAAATTTCTCTTCTGGGAATAAATGGTTAAAGGTTTGACAGAGAGAAGTGAGGTGCAACAATATCTCTAGTTTTATTTCTTCCAAAATGTTTTCATTGATAACATTCTCTTCAATGTGCTGCAAAAACCTTGGAAACATGTAGTAGCTAGGACGATTGCTTTTAAGCTTCGCTTGCCACAACAGTAACGCCTTCTGGAATCCTTGGATACATTCGGCCTGTTGGAATATGTCACTGTTTTTCCCCTGTAGTCTTAAACGTAGTTCATTAAGGATGCCAAAAATATCAGTTAAATATGCCAGTTTCGTTACCCAAATATCATCCTCAAAAATAGTTGCCAAATGAGACTTCTTTTCAGTAAGAAAAACGTGGATCTCATTCCTAAGTTCGTAAACCCTGCTCAGTATTTTCCCTTGAGACAACCAACGAACTTTGGTGTGAAACAGTAAGTGGGTATAATTAGCTCCAATCTCCGAACAAAACGTTTCAAGAAGTCGGCTGTTTAATGAGCTTCCTTTAATAAAGTTAACAACTTTCACTGCCTTTTTCAATACTTCCATGAGCTTCTGTGGAATCTCTCTGGATGCTAATGCTTCATGATGTATAAAACAATGATTCCACGCACCACTAGTAACTTCTAGCAATTTTTAAATTACTCTGCTCTGTTTTCCAGTGATGTTTGCTGTTCCGTCACTTGTAATTCCTTTGCAGTTTTTCCAGTTTAATTTATACTGACCAACAATGCACTTTTCTAATTCTGTGAAAATATCTAATCCACTTAGGTGTGAGGTTAAGTTTAAACAACATAAAAAATCCTCCATAAAATCGCCTTGCCACGCATATCTGACATAGACTAAAAGTGCTGTGCAGCTTCCAGTATCTGTGCTTTCATCAAGCTGGATTGCAAAATCCATTCCCGACTGTAACCGAGTAATAAGCATTGCCTCTAAATGTTCGGCAATTGTACAAATTCGAAGAGATATTGTGTTATTACTAGGAATCGTTTTTAATTTATCAGCAGATTTATCATCAAAAATTGTACGCACCATATCCAAACATACTGGAAGAATAATTTTTTCAGCAGCTGTGTGAGCCATTTTCTCTTTTGCCACACGATATGCAACTAAATATGATGATAATAAGGTTTTCTCACTAACAGTAGTAGAGCAGCTAAGAAATTGTGTTGATGACTTTACATCTATTTTCTTTCTTTGAAAATATTCAAGAGGCTTATCAATAAGTTCAGCATGCTGTGTTTCTAAGTGCCTTTTTAATTTTGAAGGTTTTAAGCTTTCATTTGCAAGAATATTATTACAAATAAGACACTGAGGTCTGTCATTTTCAAAGGGTTTTTCACATTTGATAAAACCATATTTTAAATAATCTTCATTATAACGCCTTGCAGTTACTTTTTTCTTTTTGAAACATGGCTCAAATGAAGTTGATGTTTGCAGATTAGAGTCAATAGTTTTATCAATATTGTCACTATTCACACTTCCAGATCCAGCAGTAGAACTTGAACATGCTTCTGCATATTTTGCTTCATTATTCCTCTTTCTTTTAAAAAAGAAATGATCCATTTTAAAAGCAATTTTGAATAAAATATTATAATTGCCACTAACTATAATTGCCACTAATATATATATATGTGTATATATATATGTATATATATATATGTGTATATATATATATATATATTTTTTTTTTTTTTACAGCCTAGATAACATCTTTCCAAAATTGCAGTTTGCAAATGAATCTCAGTGGAACATCTCAGACTTTATATACAGTTGCAAGTCATGGTAATACACAACTAGACTGCAGATCAACCTTGTTATTATGAAAACCAAATAAGACATCATTGGAAAATGATTGAAAAACCATTTCTTAGGCAATCAATGTACATTCTATTCATCATATCCCCTCCATCAAATATCTTTCCACATATTGAAACTTATGACCTTAGAATTCCTTGCAAGGTGTATAATTCTGGCAAAGGATTCATGCAAACCACTCTGATATTTTATATTTTATTTTGTTTTTAAAAATGTTTGTCATGACTCACAAAATTGATTTCATGACCTACTAAATGGGTCACATGCATAATGTGAAAAACACTGATATAGAGACGTTTTCCTCTTTTGTGTTTAGTGGCTTGACTATGTCTGCTTGATGACCAAAGAAACTAGCTGATCTGCTAAACTGCTGGCTGATACAGAAACTTTCTTGAAGTGGTAGGTATATATCATTCCTGATTTTCATTCCTGATACTTTTTGATGGGAAGGGTTTTTAAGAGTGCCAGTATTGTCTGATCTCATGAGGTTCCAATGAGGTTTTCCATGGCTAGGTCAACTATAAGGTTGGAGTTGGTGACATATTTTTAGAACTGTCTTGGAATGCATCCTTGACCTGGGAATAAGACCAGAGGTATGACATTAAGCATTACAAAACAGAGAAATAGTGTTGCCAGCTATAGGGACCTTTACAGAATCCAAGGTCATGGGTGCTGAAGCAAAAAGCTGGTAGCTCTCAACACAATGTTATATAGGCTTAGGCCTTTTTCTGTAAGGCAAACTACCTCAGCCAAGATTGGGAGATAGAAAAAATGATGTAAGACCTGGGAGTCGCATCAGGAGATGCAAAGTACATTGACAAAGCTAAACACAGGAAACCATGGAGGAGCACAGCTCATTCACTATATATATTTCCTCTTAGCTCAGTTTGGCCATGCCCATCTTGTAAGTACTTCCCGCACTGCTCTCTTTGAACTTAGGATATTTGGGTCTTATCAGCATAATACAGCACTTCCTTACAAACCTCTCCATCAAGTAATGCCACTTTGGGGGGTGGGGGAGGAAGGGTAAAGTCTTACATTTACTGTAGTGTTTATTAGAAATTAAACATTTTAACAGTGTTAATAGTTTTATCAGGATTGTTTGCATTAACTAGATTTTCTTATTTTCTGTAATTCTTGATGCTCCGGCATGTGGGTTCTCACTAATCATAGAGGGAACTAATCCTCCCAGGGTTGGGTAATTCCTAGAGATAGCAAACAACTTGACTGATAGCTCAACCCAGGAACACAACTTTCATATGCAAACGAACCAGTCCAGAGCCAGCCCTACCCATACTTTCCCACCCTCCCAAATCAGGTTCTTATTCTCCAGATACTCCCCTGCCCTAACTACCCCAGGGCCAGGTAACCATGAACTATGGACAGCCCCCATGCCCTGAATCCTGGTGAAACTGTTAAGAAAGCCAATCTGAAACCTGCTTACCCTGCTTGACCAATTCCTTCCTGAGAAAACCACAGTACGGGCTTTTCCACATTTCCCCTTCCACCCCCTCTCCCTCCTGCCCAATCCTGGTGCTTCCCATGTGGCCGCCCTGTATGGCATGGCTCGGCATGCCCTACCTCCTTTTTCTAGGGATCTGTATAAAAACTACCTACTTCATGACAGCCATTTCTGTGTCTGTTTGCCTTATCATACCTGATTAAAACAAATCATAGGTATATCATTTTTACTTCATCTTGGTTCTGGTTACAAAGTTACAAAGTTGCATAGTTTGGCCCTAATCCTATTTTCCACATAATGTCTGTTATATTTTACCATAAATTTTGCATTCCATGAGTTCTTCCAAGTCATAGTGTTAAAGCTGAAACACCCGTATCTCGAGATAACTTTTATTACTTACTTGCCTGGTGAATGGATTCCCCCAATCACTTGAGAGGAAGATTGGAATCCTTCAGTTTTGGGGACACACTAAATATTTGTCATTCTAGCTATCACCCATCCTTCAGCTGTGAGTGAAACGGTATCATACAGTACACAAGTAAGGTATAGGTTTCAGGAATGCCAGGCAGCACTCAAAATGTGCTACAAATTATCTGAATGCCATCGATTTTCATCAGCCTGTCACCACTGTATTTATGTGGTGGCCTAATCTTTTAATAAAGCCAGCTTTGAAAGAGGCATCAGAGTGGACGGTGACCTTGAAACAAGAAAGATGTTGCCAGATGGAGAAGGCCTTAGTGAGATTCTTCCCTGAGACTTCATTACTTATTTTTAACAGTAAACTTGAAGGGGACTTACAGTATGTCATGTATACTGCACTTTTTAAAATTTTAATAAGCTTTATTTTTTTTAAGAGCAACTTTAGGTTCACAGCAAAACTGAGCAAAAGGTAGGGATTTCCCATATATTTCCTGCCCCCACCTATGCACAGTCTTCGCCATCACCAACATCCCCCACCGGAGTGGTACTTGTTACAGCTGATAGACCTACAGTGTCACATCATAATCACCCGAAGTCCACCCTTTACATAAGGTTCACTCTGCGTGTTGTACACTCTATGAATTTTGACAAATGTATAATGACATGTGTCCATCGTTATGGTTTCATACAGAGTATTTTCACTGCCCTAAAAATCCCGTGCCTCTGCCTCCCTTCTTTCCTATCCCCACTCCCACTGCCACCAATCTCTAATAGTCACCGAATTTTTTTTTTTTTTTTTTTACCAGCTCAGCTCCACAGTCTTGCCTTTTCCAGAGTGCCATACCATTGGAATTATATGTATATAGACTTTTCAGATTGGCTTCTTTCACTTAGTAATATGCATTTAAGGTTCCTCCATGTATTTTCATGACTTGATAGCTTATTTCTTTTTAGCACTGAAAAATACTTCATTGTCTGGCTATAACAGTTTATTTATCCATTCACCTACTGAAAAACATCTTAGTTGCTTCCAAATTTTGGCAACTATGAATAAAGCTGCTATAAACATTGGTTGTAGGTTTTTGTGTGGACAAAAGTTTTCAACTCCTTTGGGTAGATACTAAGGAACCTGACTGCTGCATCGTATGTACAAGTACATTTTTAAAGAGGATCCCGGCAAAGGTTGTGTATCCTTTTGTTGCTGGAGCTTGTCAATATTGTGGGCACAGATTATGCTTTATAGATAAAGCATAGATGTTGCTCAACTTTTTCTTTTTTGCAATGGTGCCAGCTTTTGTTAACGTAATTCACACACGCTGACAGACTTCAAATAATGCCAAACGGACTGCTCTAGGGTTTCCTGAGCTGTGATGGCCTACTCTGGTACTGAGTTATTCTGTTGATGTCTCTGATATGAACTGCCAATAAATAGAACCAAGTCAGAACTGAGGGGTAAAGGTGGCTGGTGAGATGGGTTACACAATTTAGTATAATTCAGTGAGAAAAGTGACGTGGGGAGCTGTCAAAATAAGACTATTTGGTCAGTTTGGCATTGGACAAATACTAAACCTTGAATTTAGGAGCAGATACTTTATATGAGACTAAAAGCTTTAAACGGCATTCTAGAACAACATTGTTGGAATGCAGCTTCAGGAATGTGCCAGGAAGGTGGCAGCAGGAGTCATCTGAGAAAACTTTGCTGTAGGGAGTAGGGTTAAGTTGTAATATGCAAGAGATCAAAATGTATAACCTTGTCTCTAGGCTAGCAGTCTCTTGGCATAGTTTTCCGTGTTTAGTAATATAAAGCATTAGTGTCAACAGGAAGATCTACAAATGGGGCAAAGGTCAGGGTTTATTAGGATGGTGGCATTTTTAGGCGTTGGTTGCCTTAGGAGGGGCTTGGAAATATCAACTTGATTAGTTATTATATTATGAATGCTTTAACTAGGACAAGTTGCTAGAGATCTAATGTATATGGTACCTGATTATACTTAAAAAAGAGTACCTATGGGGGAATTCAGGGCCTGGTCTGAGAAACAGGCAAAGCTTTTCTTTGAAGGTCTTGTGTCCTGTCTGCCAAGGTAGTTAGTAGGACTAAAGAGTTTATGGCAGACGCCTATTGGATGTCACAGCATGGTGGACAGCATCAATATATTAAATCAGAACTAAACTGCTGAAAAAGCAACTGCATCTAAATCTCTTTGATGAATAAAAAGAGCTGGAGAGCAATTCACAACAGCCTTGAAGCAATCTGACTCAGATATATAACTGCCCTTAACAGCTGAAATAGAACATTTATTGATTCTTCCTGTCATACTGAAGGATGCTCACTTGTTTTTAATGTTCCTTCTCTCCACATGAATTTCAAACCACTACAATTTTATCCCTGTATGCCACCTCTCCCCAGATATTTTATAGACATTTACCTTATAAAGAAAAACAGTGTTAAAACGTTCTCCAAAGTCTTTTGTTTGCCCTCTCTTTTATTTATCTATGTCTCTGAAAGGTGCCTTAATGGCAAGTCACAGGAACTTGGAGGGACAGGTTCAAACCTGAGGGTTTTGGTCTAACCGTAAGTTTTGGAACTTTAAACAGAGATATTCTCAATTAGAACTCAATGTAAATCAGAGCATATGCGTACATTAACATGAATAACTACATGTGTGATTCCATAAGCCAGATGGGTTCTGCTGGGACAGGTCCTTTCTGGCCAAAACTTCAAAAATCTATAGATGTGTGCACTGATGCTTCAGATGTGTGTGTTGAGGCTGACTGTTGTGGATATATAACCACATTTCAGAGCAATAATGCTCTTTAATTGGGTGTGCATCTATCTTAGCCATTCTTTAGGAGAGAATTTCAATTAAGGTGACCAAATACTTGTAGCTGAAAGTTTCTTATATACCAAGGTGC